TTTACATCCTACGATACGATGGCTGGCTGGCTAGCCGAACAACCTCCTCGTGGTGCCAGCAGGGTGGTTCGGGTTTAACCCGTTCCAGCAAATAGTTCGGCGGCAGTGTTCCAGGACGTGGTGGGTTTTCGCCTGGCAAGCGTTCTCCCTACAAAAAGCCACAAATGTCTGTTTAGCAACACTGCGACGTGGCGGATGTGACTCGCCACAAAATAAAGTCACTGGCCCGTGGATATCCGGAAACTGCTATCCAGCCCACAGACATCAATCGCTTATGCTCACATTCCTGAAGATAGCAGTCAAAAATGCTCCGGCATATTCAAAGACACAAAGTGGTTGGCGGCATCCGGTTTCAGATTTGCCTGTCACTGTGGCAAGCCACAGGACGCCTGCGCCTACAGAGGGACCATGGATGGCTTGCGCTGCACCACCCACAGCTCCAACCACATACCCCATATCCAGTGTAAACCCGAAGGAATAAGACCGGGAGGCATGCGGATGGGAACCACGTTTCATCAACGGAGCCGGCCCACACTCCTTCACAGGCAAACACAAGCACACTGTATTTGGGGAATCAAGTGCACACAAGGCGGTGGCTGGACCGTAGTCCGCTCCACACTGACTGCATGGAACCACTCTTCGAGCCTAACACGGCCACAAGGACCGTGCAGCCCGTCCCCTCCAGCAACGACCAACTGTCTCTTGGAGCCAGTATGGACGAGGTAGTGGGTAATAGACAGGTCGGCACCTTGTCAACCTGCACATCAAGCGCAGCCACACCGGGGATATCAAACAACAGCCAAACAATTGAGAGACAGTGAGAAAGAAAAAGAGAAAAACTCGTTTAATGCATAAGGAAACGGTGATATAAACCTTAAGTGAATAGCATATGTAATACGTTGTTTACAAACAGATAATATCTGAGTGCACGAGGTCAGAAAGTATATTTCACGGAATGCCACGAACACAAAAATGTTATGGAAATCGAATACAATTGGCTGAAGCGATGTGTGCAAGTTAATGGAATAGAGTACAGGTAGATATTTATATGAGAAAGAAAAGTATTAAGGTAAAAACTGTAAACCCACCACCTGAAATAAAGAGACTTAGCATGCAAGCAGGCGGTTAGTAAATCGAATTCAGCTTGCCTACAAACGCTGTGCCGGCTCGCCGTAATTCTCTGCAGGACCGTCGTTGCTTCTGTAGTGGCCCCAAATGGCACAACTCATGGCCCACTAGACATTTGTATGAGAAAGAAAGGCATTAGGAGAGAACCGAAAACCCACCACCTGAAATAAAGAGACTTAGCATGCAATCATGCGGTTAGTAAATCGAATTCAGCGTGCCTACAAACGCTGCGCCGGTGCTGCCTACGTTCACTGCGGGACCCGTCGGCGCTTCGGCAGTGGTCCCGAGTGACCTCTCTCATGGCTCACTAGGCCTGCCTGACTAAGGCATTCGCGACCGCATGTTCTACAGCACAATGCGCTCGATGTCGATGGAGTACAATTCATCGGTGCTTGCCGCTTCCGCAACTGCCGCTTCTTCTCTGCATGCATGAGGGATTTCTCCCGCACCTCAGCAACTGCCTTCGTGATTAGATCGCGCCATGCACGCCGATCAACCGCCTTCGATTCCCATGATCTGCAATCAAGATTAGAACGTGTGAGGCTCACTTTAATCATGTCCTGGTAACGTAACTTTGGTTTCCCTACGTGCCGCTTCCCAATACTCAGCTGACCGTATAAAAGTTGTTTCGGTATCCGCGTCGAATCCATACGGCTCACATGACCGAGCCATCTCAGGTGTCTCAATAAAAGTATACAGTACACTGCATACATCCCACTTCGGCGCAACACTTCCGAAAGACACAAACTACATTCATACAAAATTACATACGTATATACTCCCATTCACGCTGAATATCCGGAAAGTGCTATCAAGCTTGCAGACATCAATCGCTTATGCTCACATTCCTGAGGATAACAAACAGTCAAAAATGATCCGGCATATTCAAAGACACAAGCTACATTCATACAAAATTACCTACGTATATACACTCACATTGTTATGCCAAATATGTACGTTTTGTACACTTTTGATCACACTATGTTAGCTAAGCATGATCATGCCTGTAAAGGTGTGCCTCGCCTTGTCGAGAATAAAAGTTTATTTATTTATTTATTTATGATCTTTTCCTTCCTTGTGTGCGGGCTCCTCCATCACCTTTCAATGGATCATTCAGGATTCTCAATCTCTTATTGGCTGAGGTCCCGTATCTCATGACAGCCAACTTATTGTTTCGCATTTTCAACATTGTACAGTTCCAATCATGGATATATTAACAATTTTCTGCGTTACTGTTACAATTGTATTAAAATGTTTGTATCGTCGTACATATCTGATCATGCCTCCATGAGCGTGTCTTGCACAGTCGAGAATAAAATATTTATTTATATATTTATACGAATATTCCTATTGTACAAAGCTCTTAATACCTTCACAGCTGTGCCAAGCTCCTTTGAGGTCAAACCATTTATTTATTTGCTTATTTAACCGGAGATCCGTGCCCCAAGTTTCCCTTGGTGCTGGCTATGATTGCGGAACTAATGCACATAGCTTACCGCTGAGTTAGCTTTCATCATACTATACATGTGGAATGCATTCCAAACAAAGCCACGTTCTTTAGGTTGATTTAAGCAAGACAACGGCACACGCACATGGCAGGTGCTCTTAATATGCATAGCCTGGAAGCAGTGGCGACAGATAGCGCGAAGGAGAAAATAGTTTACATGCCTTATTTTTCATGTACCCATTATACACTTACCTGACCTCCCCACCAGAGTTTGACCTGCTGGCAAGCCACTCGTAATTGAGCTTGTGATCAACAACGAAGGACCCAAGGTCAACGTAATAGGCGCAAGTACACCACTGTAGTAGTAACAACCTGACTCTACTTTTTGTCTATATAAGTTAGGCGGGATATCCTGAGGAAGGGGAGGGCTAAGTGTATACGGTCGCGCACTATGTGTTGTCCGCGCTTGTTGATGAGATAGCTTGTACTCTCTGAACGGCATGCCCACAGAAGCCGCCTAGCACACCACGCGGAACACACAGGGACCCTTACCATACTGGTAAAACACGCGTCTGAGCAGCAAAGCTTCCATCTTTTGAAGAAGGATTTCATTTTTGCGTAGCAGAATAGGTAAATACACGTCCTGGAGGCACTTAGCACGGAGAGCACACAAGGACGCACGGAATTCCAGAGCCTGGACTGCCTATGTAGCAGAGCCAAACTTCTGTATGAGTTTACACCTCGAGGACAAGGTGCCGCATCAGCAGGAGTTGATGAAAAGTAGCTGCATGAACCGCAAAGTCGTATACAGACATGTTAATGGCCTTCGTGATGTGCAACACGGATTTCCAGCTCTGATTCCGGCTGACGGCTGCACATGATCAGCAAAGGAAGCAGACGACCTTTTACTGTTCCATTACTCACAAAAATTCCAGAGAGTAATAGGCCCAAAGGTTATCCCTTTTCCCAGGGTCCATTCATCCCTTTATCCAATATTACTTCAACTACCGACCGTGGGTCAAAGAGGCTGGTGTATTTGTTGGAGATCTGGGATTGGCCTGAGGAACGATTTTTTCCCAAGACCGACATAACCCACGACAATGACTTACATGGAGAATGGTTGAACACCAAAAGAACCCAACTACGATCAACACAAGCCTTGTCCAGTATGGTGAACTGGACACATCTTCATACTTCCAAACATTATACATCTAAATAATCCAGACAGCAGAAAACTTGATCTTTTGCTCACCTGGACACACAACAAGACTACTATCCGCGACGTTCCTATCCTATCCTATCCTCAACCGGCCGCAACCATCATGGCGGCCCCGGTCATATTACCTGTCCAACTAACAGAGGAAAATAGAGAGTTATTTGTCTGCGAATAACCGAATATGAAATCAGTTGTCAAACGGCTTTGCCAGTCAGACATTACTGTTCAAAATGCTTTACGGCATTGTTGCAGGACGTTGTGGGTTTTCGCCTGACAAGCGTTCGCCCTATAAAAAGCCACAATTGTCTGCTTAACAATACTGCTACGTGGCGGATGTGACTCGCCACTGAATACAGTCACTGCCCAAAAGTACATACTGGCAAGTCGACTAGAAGCATATCTCAAATCTTCCCGACACATGCAAGTATGTTACGTTCCGTCTACAAGCACTGTTACATTAGACTTATAGTGCCTTGACCGTTTCAACTGCACAAGACTAAACCCGAAGTATCGTCGTGATACACAACTGCTTTTAAACCTTGATCACGCTTGAGTTGGTGTGTCTCAATGATGTTGAGAATAAACTATTTATTTGTCTATTTGAACAATTTGCTACTGGCACCGTTACAGTTACCATAAAATGTCTGTACATGTACACATTTCTGAGCATGCCTCCATGGGCGTGCCTCGCATAGTCGAGCATAAAATATTTATTTATACATTTATTTATCCACAGCCAGTCGTCTGGAGGAACATATGGCAATATCCTACCAGCGCTGCATGGAGGAAAACCATATTCCAAAAATATAGCGGCGAAAGGTCCTCAATCTTATTCTTAAGGGAGGTAGTCGCAAGGACGCAACCAATTACCGTCCTATAACGCAACTCCCTGTGCTTTCCAAGGTTATAGCGTATAAGGTTACATTTCGGCCACCTGCGCAGTCCGTAGTTGTCGCAGGGTATAACGGGCTTATTAGAGCATTTCTGGATAGCTATGCCTATCTAGAACATACACCGCTTCCCTACTTTTTATATTTTCTTTTCTTTTGTCTACTATCTGCCAGCAAAGCAGAAAGCCATTTTCAGCGAAAAATCACAATGGCCTTATTCGTAGACCACCGTTTAATTGCGAATAACTCGCAAACTACTGCACGCATTGTGTTGCTTTTAAGTTCAACGTATTCAGGCGCTAAAGCTGGTCCAGACCAGTGTAATTTTGTGCTACTTTATGCGGTATTGTAACTGTAGGAAGGCTTTTTCTTTTATCTGAGAATAACTCAGGTTAAAAATTTCGCGCCGGAGAGCAATATCAGCCTAAGAAAAGTAGGGCTCTATTTTTTTGTTAATTGGTATTTTTCTACTGAAGCACGCAGATCTATTTTCTCTCTTAACAAATTGCTTCTATTTATGTCTGCATTTATCGGAATTGAAATTTTCGAGCGTGCTGTCTTTTTGAGGTTTTACTTTCAAAGGACAGTTTTGGAACAGTGTTTACA